TAAATAGAGATGCTGTTACAGACAGAAGGGCAAACATTTTGGGAAGGCAAAAACAAGAATACACTACAGGCATAAGAAGGTAATACTAAAGAATAATAAATGAAATCTAACGACATAAAGGTCTAAAAACCTCCCACAGCCCAAGAGGGAAATCTGGAATTATAAATGAGGACGATGTAGCAGAGGACAAGCACCATTAAAAACATTCAGGGGATGTATTGGATAGACATCACAGGCTATATTAGTAGAGGTATACTGTCTGAGAAAAGGGAGGTGATAATCCTGTGCTGTTCTGTGCTGGTCATACCACACTTTAGGTGAGGAATTCCATTTTGTGTTCCATACCTTCAGAGGCATATAGGCAAAGCGGGTCACATTCAGAGATGAGAGGGCAGGAGGCTGGAATCATGCCATTGGAGTAACGGTCAGAGAAATCGTCACAAGGGTGTTGGGGGAAGTCCAGTTATGGTACTTTTGGAAAAGCAAGGTAAAGAAGGGTAAGGTTTGTTATGCAGCTTTAAGTTGTGCCTTCTTCATTGATAAGAGACTATAGTGAGTCATCCTTCTCTTCCTGGTACAGAGAGGGAGACACCCTTACGAACGGATATTTTCTTTGTAGATATAAATTTCCTTTACAAAAGGAAACTTCGACTCTATGTTCAGAACTTCTGTGTCTATAGTTTCTCAAAATAATCAGCTTAAAATAATTCTTATGTCTAAAAGGCATATTTTGGGATGGAATATTCTGGTCTCCTACGGTCATATTTTGGGGTGGCATATTCTGGTCTTGTAAGCACTTTTCCCTCTTTAAGATTCTGTGATCCCTCTGTCAGAGACGTGTGAACCAGAACAACTCCATCTTGAATAGGAGCTGGGTGAAATGAGGCTGAAACCTACTGGGCTGCATTCCCAGATGGTTTGGCATTCTAAGTCATAGGATGACAGAGGAGGTTGGCACAAGATACAGGTCATAAAGACCTTGCTGATAAAACAAGTTGCAGTAAAGAAGCCGGCTAAATCCCACCAAAATCAAGACAGCCATGAGTGACCTGTGATCCTCCTCATGGCTACACTCCCACCAGCTCCATGACAGTTTACAAATGCCATGGCAACATCAGGAAGTTACCCTGTATGGTCTGAAAAGGGGAGGTATGGATAATTCACCCCTTATTTAGTATATAATCAAGAAATAACCATAAAAATGGCCAACCAGCAGCCCTCGAGGCTGCTCTGTCTATGGAGTAGCCATTCTTTCGTTCCTTTACTTTCTTAATAAACTTGCTTTCGCTTTACTCTATGGACTCACCCTGAATTCTTTCTTGCATGAGATCCAAGAACCCTTTCTTGGGGTCTGGATCTGGACCACTTTCTTGTAACACCTCCCTGCCCCTTGCAGTCATCTGAGTTTGGGCTTGCTGGCTCTTCTTGCTACTGCTTCAGCTGAAATATTGGTTGGGGTGGTGGGGGTTGGGAGGGTAGGTCACAGGACTGGAGACAGGGTGGGTTGGGAGAGTGGAGGCTAGGGATTTTATTCTCTGCTGCAAGGAAAGGCAAGCTGGTAGTTTAGAACAGTAGTCTCCAAACTCGGATTGCACACCCCATCAGTCAAATAATGTTTGCATAGGTACTCTTCAAATTAGGGATTATTACTTTAAAATCATAAGCATATACTATTTTCAGATGCAATATACTACCAAGGTCATCATTAAACACTATAAGCCCATATTCCAAATAATCTTTATTATTTTGAACTGTTAGACCACCTTTGATTGGTGGAGGTAGATTCTTAATGTTACCTTTTCCAGTTTCTTGGCACTGTTTAAGCAGAGAGCTGAATGAACAAGTGAGTCCACTGCTGTCTACTGCTCTGAGTTGCAGAATTTTATTTTTGCCCTTGTCTCAGTATTCCTTTTCACACAATCTGACATTGGACCAAGTGAGGTTAGTTAGCGGTGTTTGTTGAGATTTTATGTTTTTAGATAAATGTAACATGAAATTCAAATACTTTATTCCTGCACATCAATGGAGCACCGTGTTTGTCCCTTGGGTGATGTCTTTTGGGTCCACCAGTGGAGGGGTAGAACCTTGCTCCTCTAGGAGTGGTCCTCTGACCTGAGGCAATGGCTTTGGCTGGGGGCCTGTTAGAAATGCTGGCTTGCAGACCACACCCTGGATGTACCGAGGCAGACTCTGTATTTTTAACAAGATCCCCAGGTGGCATGCACAGAAAAGTTTTAGAAACATTAGTTTAGGGGCTAATCAAGGATTTTTGGGAGTGGGGGAGTCTGTTAGAGGACTGAAAGCTTGGAGAGGAGATGATGGGGATCTCATTTCAAGCTTGTAGACACAGGAGTTAGGCTGTTTAGCATCTCTCACACATACACTCAGAAGTAGGTCAGTAAAGAGTCCAACAGAAATCATCTGAAAAGAGTTTTTAAAAGTCCTAACCTCTTAATCAAGGAGAACATAAAACAAAACAAGTAAAATTCCAAACAAAGTTTTACTGGAACTTCATGAACTTGCAGAGAAGTCCTTTGTTTTGGAATCTGGAGTTAGAGGAGTCCAGATTCCTTGAATTGGGGTTTTCTGTTGCCAGAGCTTGTCCACATTTCCCAGCTGCCTGCTATTTATCTGCCTTTTTAGCTGAAGCCCTGATGACCTCGGGTGTAAATTTAATGCTTTCTTGTCTTCCTTGATTGTTTTCTTCTCTGCTCCCAGCCCCTTAAACCCGAACTCAGTCTTTAATGTCTGGCTTGCATTTCCTGATCAGATTCACAAAACAAAGACTGCGTTGTCTCATCATTTGTTTGGGAGAATTAGCCCAATTAGAGATAGGGTGAAGTTCTTGTGCATATCCCAAGACTTCTGAGCTTCACAGCAGTGAGTGCTGCTGGGAAGTCTCTGAGCACTGCCTTCTGTTATATTTGCAGTTTGACCAACGATTTCAGATGCTAGCACTGCATTCATCAGTGGGAATCTTGATTTAACATAGCTGGGTACAGATGTGAAAACCTAGCCTTGCCAGTCAGAGAGTGAGGTTTCCATCAGTCAGTCAATGGTTTTTGAGTGTCTCCTGGAGACTTCCCAGTTGACTGAGCTTAGAAAGATGAGCAAGACCAGGCCCTTGACTTTACGGAGGTCGATGTCTTGTGGCAAATACAGATATACAGACCCATGTTAGGCAACCACAGATACATGTGTAACAACAGGAGGTGTTGCACAATGTATCTGTGATTACCTGCTATCAGTCTGTATATCAGACCGATGACAGGAGGTGTCAAGTCATATGACTGTAACAAATGACTAAATATTGTGGCAGCTGGGATGAGGGAGTGAAGGGGGTTGTGTTTGAAAAGTTCAGAAATATTTATCTGGTGGACTGGAGAGAAGTGAAAACACTTATGCAAAATGGGCATGCAAATTGTCATTGAGTGATAGCAAACTATCAGTTCAAGGTAATGGACAAGATCTCAGGGGAGGCAGATGGACAGCAGTTAAGGAGATTGGACTCTATCCTGGTGGTCAGTGTCTCTGAAACAGTGTTTACATGCCTGGTGGAAAGCAGTAGGGGATGGGGAGAGGTTGGTAAAGTTGTGGAAGACAGGAATGAAGGTGGAAGGCTAGTGAGTTAGACCACAGAAAGGAAAGCACACCACTGAGAGCCCACTGAAGTTGTAAACTATAACTGAGTAGCAGCATAAACCTAAAATATTCTGCAGTTTCTTTGGGGTTTTCTTGTGCCAAGTGGGATCAATCCAGGATTGGAAGCTTTCATGCCTTGGGTGGACAAACACTGGGAGGTGAAAGTAAAGTGTTGCTGAAAGGGCATTACAATGATAAGGCACGTGATCCAGGCTGTGGAGGAAAGAAAATGAAGACGGAGAAAAAATAATTTGTGAAACAATGGAGGCTCCAAGGAGCCCAAGGTATTTATGAGCTTCAGGGAGCTGGATTGATCTGACGCTGTGATTGAAGAGAAGGATGTTACAATTTAAGAGTTCAGAAGAGGAAGGTTCCTGTTGATGTCAAGGTTCTGAGGTTCCAGATTTTTCATGCACCTCTTCCTCTGTGAATGAAGCTTGGCCCGTCCTTCCTGTATTTATTTAAGGTGGCAAAGGAGAGTCACCAACAGATGAAGTTGGATGACGAGAGATGATAAGAAGCATCCACAGGAGTGTGGAATGGATGATTGTTTCTTCTGGGCACTCAGCTACCCTGGGTCCTAAGGATTCTGTGACTTGGCCAAACTTGAGATACAACTTCAGTGACCTGCCTTGTTTATCAAACATTTACTTCCTAAAAGGATCCAATTGGGGTAATTTTGCCAATGTCTGAACCAGAGTCTTTTGCACCAAAATTCCCTTGAAAGTTGACCTCCCTTGTATCCAGCCACTGTGTAGTTGTCTTGGACTTGGATCTGAATTCAGGGCAATCATTTGTGGCAGAAAACATGTCATAGCAGTTTTGATGTGCCAGGTACATTGACTCATGTTATCTTTACAACAACCACATGAAGCAGGTACTATGATTATCTTCATTTTACATATGAGGAAACCAAGGCACGGAGTGGTTAGATGACTTGCCCACAGCTAGGAAATGGTAGAGCCAAGAGGTCTGGCTATGGAGTCTATGCTGTCAACCTCTCTGTTAGCTCCCTCTGAAAAGAACTGATTCCAAACATGATTCTTAAAAGGCGGCAGCAAGCTTCATGGTTTCCTCTTGCAGCCTGTCTCAGCCTAGCACATAACTAAGGTTTCATGTGGTCTCTGTAAATGGGACTCCTTCCACCCCCACATTCCCCCCGCCCCACCCATAAACACACCCTGCATAAAGTCTATGAGAACTGCAGATAGATCTAGTTATCTTTAGGGTGACCAAGTCATTTATAATTCAAACTGAGATAGTCTGAGTGAACGTGGGCACTATGTGTGTGTGTGTGTGTGTGTGGCTTTACTGTATCTTTAAGCATTGAAACTTCTGGAGAAATCAATGTCTGGGTGGTGAGGCAGCTGCTTTCTCCTTCACTTCTTTGGGTTACTAGAGCAACTCGTCAGTAGATTCTTTTAAAAGACAACCTTTGATGTTACTTGCATGCACGTGTATTACTGAGGAATGCACTGGTACAATACAAATTTCTCTCATCAGGTGCAACTAGTCTAGCATCCAAACATCATGCACAACACCTTGGTGGCAGCAGCACACTGTGCGCACTCCCATTGTGGCCCTGATCATTTGTGTATGATATTTGGAGCATGTGGAGGAGTGAGAATAGTATTGAGAAGAGGAGTGAGGAGGAAATGGTGTGAATGCCTGGGTGACAGGAGGTCAGCCAAAGTTGAGCAGGGCAAGCCTGAACATGTCATTGGTGCAAACCCAAGCTTCACTGATATTCTTTAATAGGAACATGAGTGACATCTGGTGGAACCTGGTGATGGGGTCTTCATCTACCTTAAGCTCACCCACAACCAGGCTGATGATGCAGTTATCTGATGTGGACTAATGGTCCTGTTCCTGTGATGTTGTACTGGACTTTCTGGAACGGAAGGCTAGACAACTTCTCCACAATGGCAGTTTTCCCCTGGAATTGCTGTCCTTCCCACATAAGGCATGATGCATCAATGTAAATTGTACCTACTTGGGTTCTATCTTTATCAAATAACTGGTAGTAATGTTGAATGAAGCTGGATTCAGTTTGCTCCCAAATCAGCTTATCTCCCATTCTGGAGCATCACCTGGCCTTGCAGAGAACCAGGGGGCTGGCACTATGGCGGCAGTGGCAGCGGCAACCCAGAGTGGTCTATGACCCAAGTAGGCACTATTGAGATCTATGCTTGCATAACAGGCACAAACTAGGACTGTTCCAGGCAAACTAGGACATATGGTCACCCTAGTTATGTGCTATATATTAAATGAGAATGGAAGAAAGCTACAAGTGGGCCTGGAATATTTCCAGCCCACCTAAAAATTGTCAGAAGAAGACAAAAATTCCCAAAGCCCTGGTTTGTAATAGGTTCTCAATAGATTTTGAATGAATAAATGACTAGATTCAAGTGTGCCCCCAAGAGGAACTGGAGAAGGATAGAAATGAATCACCTAGCAAGGGGATTGGTGGCAAGGAAGGGGCATCACTGGAAAGTGTAGAAACATCACTGTTATAATAGCAGTAATTTCTGTCCAAGCACTTCACAATGGAACAAGTTAGGACTTGCCATTGACTTAAATAAATGAGTCAGCAGACCTAAAGGAAACATAAAATTGAGCCTATTTTTGCATCTTGGTGAGACTGTCATTGAAATGTCTATCTGGGGGAAAATGTAGCATCTAGTTGTAGAAAGTAACCTTAAATGGCTGAAGGAAGAACAATGGGTCTTTGAAAAGCCCAAGACCAGGGACTTGCAGACATCAAGATTTCCTTTGAATTTGCAAAGTTAACATCACTTTATAAAACTGGAGAAACTAGATTTTGGGGAAATTAAAAGAATGTGCCTCAAGGTCATTGATCATGAAACCAGAACCAGTATCAGTTCGGACAAGCAGCTGGTCTCTGGTTCCAAATCTTTGTCTATTGTTGGGGAAGGGCAGGACTTGAGGCAACCCCTTCCCTATACACACCTGCCCTGCAGAGAGGTCTATTCCCAGTAGCCTGTGGGTATGGGAGAATAGTTGAGGTGTTTGTTGGCAGTGTCTTCTCATCTGAAGACAGTTGTCTACTCCACCTGCTCTGTTCCTTTGCATTCAGTTGTGCCCAGCCTTAGTGTGAAGACCTCTTATTTGTTCTCAGTGCCTGAGGGCCAGTCACATGCTCCAGTATTCCAACTTTATAGGCATGACATAGGGTGGGACTGATGCCCTAGATCTCAGAGATCCTGGGTAGAGACATCCTCATCCCATCTCGGGCAGCTCACTGCCAGCCTCCCAGGGCTAAATGACCTGGAGAATAGGGCACAGGCAGTGGCCCAGCAGTTGCCCAGGCATCATAGCCAGTGTCACCCTATAGTCCTAGATAAGGGCCACAGCATTGTTTAGGTCCACATGTCTGTGTTTTGGATGCCCATCAAGTGGAAGTCCTTATTGTTAATGAAGACTGGATCTCAGTATTCTAGGTGCACTTACAGTGTCTGCCCTTCTTACCCAGCTGGTTCATTCCCTTTTCTGGTAATGAATCCTCTTTGTATTTGAAGCCTACCTCTTCATAGGGACAAAATTTGTGCAGAAATGAGGTTTCAACCAAACTACAATATGGGAAATATGAGGATAAGATTTTAAGTTGGATAAATGTTGCAAGGACAGTCTGTAAACCGAGGCTATGAAAAGATTTGCATGAAAATATTCTTTATCTTCATTCAATTTTTTAAATTTTATGAGTTTTAAGACATATGGTGCTCGTCTATATCTCAAGGTTGTAGCAACCTGTGACTAAACATGTCCTTTTCTAGTTCCAGATTGATATTTTTCACTATTGTATCTATTCCAATAGTTGACTCATACTGGAAGCACAATATCAAGCAAGTTCTAAACACGTTTTCAAGCAGTATAAAACTGTCATTGGCCCTAGATGTAATAAGAGTTTTCTAGAGTTATGTGAGAGACTGAAATCACAGGGCCACTGATGCAGGGCAGGCCCAATGATCCTCAGATAAAAGGCAAGCAAGACTTAATCTTTTTGTTTGTTTTTGTTTTGTTTGAGATGGAGTCTCACTCTATCACCAGGGTGGAGTGCAGTGGCATGATCTCAGCTCACTGCAACCTCCGCCTCCTGGGTTCAAGCAATTCTACTGCCACTGCCTTCTGAGTAGCTGGGACTACAGGCATGCGCCACCACACCCAGCTAATTTTGGTATTTTTTTTAGTAGAGACGGGGTTTCACCATGTTGGCTAGGATGGTCTCGATCTCTTGACCTTGTGATCTGCCCGCCTCAGCCTCCCAAGGTGCTAGGATTACAGGCATGCGCCACCACTCCTGGCCAAGACTTGTTGCCATGATCATTCAAGGTTTCACTCGACAACCCTTGACCTATTGTCTGTGGTTTCTGATGATGAGTATCTTCATACTGCAGTAATACTAACTCTTAAATGGTGAGAGAGGAGTATTTGATTTCTTTGTTCACTTCCATAAAAAATGCATGACTACTGGGAGAACAAGTTTTGAGGTCATTTGATGGGAAGAGCAATTCCAAAGTACCTCCTATGATTCCTTCTGTCATCCTGCTTCTCCATTCTACAGAGCCCTCATTGAAAGTGGTCAGTAAACAGGAAGGTTCTCAGAGTGTTTAATCTGCAGATGGGGAATATCAGAAGTTTAAGGAGGCTAAGCTAAAATGATTCTCCATGTGTTGATGGTAAACTGGCTCTTGAAAGCCTCTTTGGTGAATAGAAGTCATGTCTCACTGATGACAGTCCTAGAGGGAGGGCTGCCCCACCCTTGTAGGATGATCAGATGTGTTTGTTTTTGAAAGCATCTTGACCTGAATCCACTAAGACTTGACTTTATGAGACCCACTTGTTAAATATTGATATAGATGGAGGATAAAGCAAGGTCTGAGAACTGAACTCTATTTTATTGTTATATTAACCAAATTGGTAAAGCTCTGAACTTTCATTTAGGGGAACATAGAATTTATCTGGAATTCTTTCTTTGGAATGTACACTATTTAAGAAAATATAGGGCAGTAACTTACTCTTCTTTCCCCCAAAGCAGTAAATTCAGGTGTCCAAGCTCATTTAGCTTGGTAATAAGTAAAATGAGTTCTTGAGTAATTTTAATGTAAAATGAGAGACTTTTTTCCCCACTAACTCTTCAAACAGCCTGTGGATCTGCATATTAGCAAGCACCTCTGGTGTCTAGCCTAAAGCCTTTAATTTTTAATTGCTTGCAGAAAACAGGAGTATAACTGTTTCAAAGGGTGTTTCCGTGTGTTTTACTAGATTTCTGTCCATGCACATACTACTACCTCATGGAAAATGCTAGAGGTTAGCAAGGAAGAGGCACAAATTTCTGAGCTATTTGCTGATAAGGCGGGGTTCAAATATTTGACATTTTCAGGTTAGCATATGAGGCTCATATTTTCATAATGTCATATGTCATTTACCCTGGAAAATATTTGTTCTGTTTCTGAGAACAGTCATAAATTGGGAAAGGTGTATAGCATTCTTTTTTTTTTTTAACCTTTTAACCCTTTGTTACCAAGTCATTGCTGGATGAATCATGGAACATAGAGCATCTCTAAAATTTGAGGAAATGAGCATAGATTTTCAGACCTAAAATAATAAATTACTGACTGGGCAACTTAATTGTGATAATGATGTATGGAATGTGGAGGGAAAGGTGGGAAACATTAACCTCCTGGCCATATCTAATGATTAGAGTTCCCTGACACCATGTTAACCCATTTTTTATGAAGCTACACAAATGCATCAACTGAAACTCTTCAGTGGTAGTATTGTTACATAGTATAAAATGAAGATGTTACTCTTGAAATAGGCTTTTCCTCAAAAAAGCCACTCTATATTCTTAGAAAAATAAAACAATAAACATTATGCTTTCGAGTTTTAGATGGGATATAAAAATTTAGATATTTTTAAAAATTAAAAATATTCAGTATTCAGTACACTATCATCAACTAAAAATAAAAATATGTAGATTTGCCAAGAGCACAAGCCATAACTATCTTTATTTTTGCCCTATCTGATCACTAGACAAACAGCAAATTACCCTCTCTTTCAACATCTTTCTCTTCTTGCCCCTCCCTCACCATATCCGTCAATCTCTCTCCCTTAACAAGCCATGATATTGAATTGAAAATCCATAGGAATGTCATTCTGTGATTAGCAGTAGATTTACATCTCTCAATTTAAAAAATGCAACTGTAGAAGATTTTATATTTTAATATTTTAAACAATAAGTGCTCACCATGGTTACTGATAAAAAAATTCATTGCAACAACATTTCAGCACCATGGATAGCACCAACGGTGCAGATTCTACCCCCTTCTCCCAAAACCCCATTTTGGTCATGCCACCTCTGGTCTGGTGAGGGGATTTAGGGATGGCTGTGTTGACACAAAATGGCAGTTCTTATAGTTGGCTTCTTGTTAAAATCACATGAAGAACTTTAAATATCCCCAAGTCCAGCCCCCCACAACTCAATCAATTAAATCAGAATATCTGAGGTGGGTCTTAGGCACTCATACTTTTAAAAGTTTTTTAGACTTAAAATCAATAGAAAGTGGTAATTTCTAGGAGATGAGATGGATTTACATCTGAAATAGAACCTCTCAACCTTAACTGCTTTTAAGAATTACCCAGCTTCTTAAAAAAAATAATTGTTTGGGCTTGTCTTTAGACATTGTAACTCAATTGGCCTGAAATAGGAGACTGATATCAAAAGTTTTAAAAAAAAATCTTCAAGCAATTTTTAATTTACAAGAGTTAATAAACATTTACTGTCAAGCAAGACCTGGAAGTAAATTTTTTTTCATGTGGAAAGTTTAGGCAAATTTAATATCTCAATAAGAGTCTTTCATTCTAGAAGGAAGTAATATGTAATGTCTAGTTTTCTTTTTCTTTCTTTCTTTCTTTTTTTTTTTTTTTTTTGAGATGGAGTTTCACTCTTATTGCCCAGGCTGGAGTGCTATGGCACAATCTCAGCTCACTGCAACATCCGCCTTCCAGGTTCAAGCTATTCTCCTGCCTCAGCGTCCAAGTAACTGGGATTACAGGCATGTACCACCATGCCTGGCTAATGTCCAGTTTTCATGACATTGGAGTTGAAGTTGAGAAACTTGTATTCTAGCCATATATGAAGTCAAATGGGGCCATACCACCTACCTGCCAT